CATATCCCCTCCACCGCCTCATGAAAGATAGATGGGATCAGCTGAGAGTCAACTGGTTTCATTGGATGTGCTTGTCGGAGATTTGTGTGTCCGCGATTAAAAATGGATAAGGTATGCGCCGTCATATTTATGAACTCGTGATAACTGGCAAGGTCTTAAGTTCTTCAAATAGCAGCTTTAGAAAATGTAGCTGGATCACCCCAATTTAGATAAGTCACATCTGCATTAATTCAGAGTTTATCTCCCGTAAAATGCCTTTGTTTTGCTGTTCTGGTTACACTGCAGTATTCTTTTTTATGGGGATTCAGTGCCAGGTATGGGGAGTTTATTCCCCCCAATCATCATGGTTGAATGTAGCATGCTTCCACTCCACATCTGTATGGTTCCACTGAATCAGTCACTTTGATTTTCGACCAAATGCTGATCACTGAAAAGTTCATTGGACCTGGCAGGTGCTGCTGATGGCCACTTCCAAAGTGACATCCCTATGTCTGCTGGTATGTATCCTTAATTAAGTCAGTTTGGGTACAGTCAGGTGCCTATCTTCACTCAGCAATATTAGGAAGCAAGCTAACAGGGGCATCTTAGCAAGAGTGGCGTTTCATCAGTACGTTACTTTCTAGAACAGACTGTTAAAGATGCTACAACTGAATGACAAGATGTTCCCAGGCTGAGCTTTGGGATGAGCGAATCAGTCTATTTCTGTTCCGTGTCATTTTTACATGTTGTTCGCCCAAAAATCCATTCTGTCCTCTTTTTGCATCAATCTGTAAAATGCACAAAAATACATTCAAATACACATTTTAAAAATGTATTTTTCTCTCAGAGTACACATTTTAAAGTGCATTTTTATATTCCCCTGCCCCCGAGACAAGGACTGTGTAGTAGCAGTTGTGAACTGTGAACGTCAGTGGATACATGATACATACATTCCAAAGTGCACAAAATTTAAGAACTACGAGCCTGATCAATTTGAATCTGCAAAGTTAGAATACCTCCACAATTCTTAGATAATATGCTACCTCCTAATTCATGGGTAGGCAAACTAAGGCCCGGGGGCCAGATCCAGCCCAATCGCCTTCTAAATTTGGCCTGTGGACAGCCCGGGAATCAGTGTGTTTTTACTTGAGTAGAATGTGTTCTTTTATTTAAAATGCATCTCTGGGTTATTTGTGGGGCATATGAATTTGTTCATTTCCCCCCCAAAAAATATAGTCTGGCCCCCCACCTACATGGTCTGAGAGACAGTGGACCGGCTCCCTGCTGAAAAAGTTTGCTGACCCCTGTCCTAATTCATCCAGGCTCCTGTACTTTTAAGATGTCCAACTGCAGGTGATCAATCCCATTAAGATGTTATGACAGCCCTTGTTTGATATCTAATCAGAAAGGCTTTGTATCACCTCCCTAATTTCAAAGCTGGACTACAACAATACTGTAAAAAGGTTAGAACCAGGATAGCTGGAGGAATTGGGGAAGGGTCGTAGCTCACTGGCATAGCCTCTGTTTCTCATACAGAAAGTCCCAGGTTAAAATTCGGGCTTCTCAATTGCTGGGAGAGAACCTGCCTGAAATCTTAGAGTCAGTGTAGACAATACCAGATCCGTCAAATGCCTCTATTTTCCAGGAGCAGTCCTGAATTTACAGAAGCCGTTCCAGTTTCTGATTTGATCCCGGAATGTCCCGCTTTTCCTTAGGAAGTCCCTATTTTCACTAGAGAAATGTTGGAGGGTATGGAGTTGTGCAATCCCTGAGCCAGGGAGATAAGTAAATTACAACCTTTAGAAGACATCTGAAGGTCTGTAGAAGGAAGTTTTTAAAAAATGTTTAATGCTTTATTATGTTTTAATATATGTTGGAAGCTGCCCAGAGTGGCTGGGTCAACTGAGTCAAATGGGTGGAGTATATCATCAACATCACCATCATTGAATAGGACATCCCTATTTTCATCAGAGAAATGTTGGAGGGGATGCAGTACTGTGCTGGATGGACTAATGCTCTGACTCAGTATAAAGCCGCTTCCTATGTTCCTATGACCATCCCTGTTCCCATGAGCCTGCTCAAATGCTCTGATCAGAAGGGGAGGCTCTGCTTGCTGCCCCTCTACCAGCTGAAATCTGGTGGAATGAAACAAGGCCTTCTTAGTGGTGGCTGCAGCATTTGCTGCCATTGTGATTATTCTTCCCTTGCCATTTGCTATCAATGCAAATCAGGGTTGTTGTTTTTAGGGATGAACATGGACAGCCCTGCCATTAAACTGTGTGAGGCAGTTGCTTCAGGTGACAAGTACTGGGGAGGCAGGGCAGTGAAGTGCTGGAAAGACAGTTGTGAATGTCATGCAGCCTGCTCTTCATCCCTTAGCCTTGAATGCTATTCTTAATTACAATGGAAAATGCTGTCCTATAACCGCTGTGAAAGTTGGAACCAGCTGCCAGTCCAGTTGGTTTCTGTATTCCTGTGGAAATGCAAACAAAATAAAAATTTCTCCCCCATCCCTACTGATCCCATTTCCTGCTCCGGCCAGCTGCTATTTAGAGACTTCCTGTTGGTCTCTTTGCAAGACCTTCCTGTGGCCAGAGCTTGGGGGTGTCAAATAAGGTGACGGAGAATGGATTTGAATTGCATAAAATGAGGACTGTAATGCATGTCCTTATTCACCCAGTAATGAGTGATATCTAATACCAACATCCATTACTGTGAAGCTTTGCCAATGTTTCCTGGCTAGCAGATTGGCATAATAGCAGATAGGGAGAGCTGAAAGTTTCTGAAATGAAATTTAAAACAATCAACAGAACCTGATATTGTCCACTGAATGATAGTCATGTTGGAAGCATTAGCTCAAGCACTGCCATTGTAGCATTTTCTCTCACCCCTTATTGGCTTATTTATTGGAGTTTTTCTAATAACCGTCAGGGACAGGAGCAGTATACCTGAATAGCAGTTTCTGAGAGGCTATGGCCTTCAACCTTATTTTGGGCTCCCCAGAAGCAACTGCCTGCCTGTTGTGGGAATTAGATGGACTCTTACTCTGATCCAGCAGGGATGCTTTTATGATCTCATTAGTTATCATAGCTCAGCGGCACTGCATCTCCTTTGCATGCATAAGGCCACAGGTTCAATCCTTGCCATCCCCAAATAAGACTGGGAGAGACCCCTGCATGAAACCCAGGAGAACTACAGCCAGTCAATGTAGACAATACTTAGCCTGTGTTGTTTGGGTTTCTTTTAATAAAAAGTTACCATATTTTTTGCTCTAGAAGACGCACCAGACCATAAGACGCACCTAGTTTTTGAAGGAGGAAAACAAGAAAAAAAACATTCTGAATCTCAGAAGCCAGAACAGCAAGAGGGATTGCTGTGCAGTGAAAGCAGCGATCCCTCTTGCTGTTCTGGCTTCTGGGATAGCTGCACAGCCTGCATTCGCTCCATAAGACGCACACACATTTCCCCTTACTTTTTAGGAGGGGAAAAGTGAGTCTTATAGAGCAAAAAATACGATAACTTCTCAGACACTGGGTGCTTTATTGCTAACCTGACTCTGGCTACACACACACACACACACACACACACACACCTCTTCCTGGCAGATCTTCCACTACAGCTACAGCTTTAAAGCAAACAAAACTGCAGGGAAGATATTGTAACCCTCTGAAGACATTCTCCTTTCCCAGAACAGGCCAGAAGGCAATGTGGTATGAGAGTGCCCCCTTTCCACACTGTTATCTCAATTATGTAGCATTTGCAGCATTATGCGCCCTCCTAAAGCAGCCCTGCATCTCTCACAACAAATTAACCGCTGAAAACCACAAAGCGATGCAGCCACGCCCCCGGCAGGCTGCTGCCTTTGTACATTGCCGACCTGTTAGAATCAAGTCAAAGGGATGTAATGCAAAATAAAGGCCTTTAGAAAGGCAAATAGTGATTCACTCTCATCTAAAAGCTTTGCGCAGACACATCCCTTCTTAACCCACTAGCATAAGAATGTCATAGCATGGGTAGGCAAACTAAGGCCCGGGGGCCGGATCAGGCCCAATCACCTTCTAAATCTGACCCACGGACAGTCTGGGAATCAGCGTGTTTTTACATGAGTAGAATATGCCCTTTTATTTAAAATGCATCTCTGGGTTATTTCTGGGGCCTGCCTGGTGCTTTGACATGAGTAGAATGTGTCCTTTTATTTAAAATGCATCTCTGGGTTATTTGTGGGGCATAGGAATTCGTTCATTTTTCCCCTCCAAAATATAGTCCGCCCCCCCCCACAAGGTCTGAGAGACAGTGGACCATTCCCCTGCTGAAAAAGTTTGCCTACCCATGTGTTATAGAGACTCACTGCCATCTGGCTGGTAATTACAGCAATCAGAAAGACCAAACAGTCCCCACCATCACCAAAAGAAAGAGAGAGAGAGAGAGAGAGAGAGATTTGTGTTCCTTATGGAGGGGTTTCATAATGGGTTGATTTGATGGCTGCCTCTGCCTTACCTGGCAGTTCATTTTCAAAATGAGCAAGCCCTGTATGCGATTTGCATTTCAGCAGGCAATCTGGTTACATTGGGCATCTCTACAGACCATGGATGAACCAGATGCCAACATGCCTGAATGACTACGAATTAGCATTAACGCAACAGGCAATATGCATTGCCTCCTCTGCCTAATTCATTGAGAATGTGCAATAGTAACTTCGGAATTTGAACCAGGGACTGAGGCTGGAGCTTAGTCTGGTGAGCTGTTGTGAATTGTGCCTAGTCAACAGACAAATACTGGGCTAGAAGGTAGAGGAAGAGTAGCAGACAGCTTGATGGACCAATAGGACCTTTAAAAAGTGGTTGCAATGTATACCCGCCCTCCTAAGAGGAATGCTGCTATTCGGGTTTCCATCTACATGCCCATCTGCTTAGGAAGTAGGAATCTGCTTCATACAAAGTCAGGACATTGGTCCATGGTCAGTGTTGTCTACACTGGCTGACGGTGGCTCTCCAGGGTTTCAGGAAATTCCCAGTCCTACCTGGAGATACCAGGGATCAAACCTGGGACCTTCTCCATGCAAGGCAGATGCTCTTTTCAACGTTCTGTGACTATGAGCATGCTCAGTCCTCACACTGAGCTTTTGTGGGGGCTGGAGTGGTCACCCTGCTAGGGTTTTGTTGCTAAAAGAGAAAAAGCCAGTGTGCTTCTGCAAACCTCAGGGTTCTCTCAAGCAGGCTGATACCTTCTTATTTCTCAGTGTCAATGGAGTTTGCTCCATTTTTGCTTATGTCTAGAACCTGAGTTTGTTATTAGTTACAGTGGTACCTCGGGTTAAGTACTTAATTCGTTCTGGAGGTACGTTCTTAACCTGAAACTGTTCTTAACCTGAAGCACCACTTTAGCTAATGGGGCCTCCTGCTGCCGCCGCATGATTTCTGTTCTCATCCTGAAGCAAAGTTCTTAACCCGAGGTACTATTTATGGGTTAGAGGAGTCTGTAACCTGAAGCGTATGTAACCTGAAGCATATGTAACCCAAGGTACCACTGTATTTGAAACGCTGCCCCTATTTGTAAGCCATTATAGTTTCCTAATGCATGAGATGTCAGGGAATTCTCACAGAAATGGGAGCCGAAATGGCCAATATTCTCTTATTCATCTCATGTCCAAAACTGAAATCAATCCAGCAACTATGGGTCAGGATCCACGGCAGTGGTTGACTTCTGTCTGCAAACAGTATGCAATTGATTACATCCCCCCCCCACTCTGTTTGCATTGTGTTTCCTTTGCATGAAATGAACAGAGTGGGACAACGTAATTGACATTATTGATATTACATCATTTTGCCACAACCGACAGTTAGACAAATGACAGGTTTCGGTGGAAAACAAACTGCAGCAGAATGAAAACAGGTCTGCATGCAATGAATACAGGGCAGGGCAGAAAATGGTGCCTTTTACATCCTTAGTCATGGACGAAATTAATATCTATGAAGGTTTCAAGACACTGGAATGAGGAAGAAGGTAAGCTATATTGCATGCATGAAACATCATGATTTCTCAGCTAGCCTCATGAATTTTCAGGAAACAGTGTCGACAATCCCGCAATATAGGATTGCCCTCACCTGCACACATTTGATGGATTACTAGGCCCATCCAATGATTAAACATTGTGAAAAGAATGAGCACATCTCCGACTGACGCAAATCATTGGCTCTTATGAGACAGAACTGGCACGCATGGATGTTTTTTTGCCTTCTTATTGATACAGCCTTGGCTCTTTTTTTAAAGTTATTTAGAGGAGAAAAGCATTAAAAAGAATCACTTCTGCTTCTTAAGTAACGAAGACAGTGTGAATCCAGCTCATCACTTCAAACTGCTGACTCATTTACCACTTGGAATGAATTGAGGGCTGTTAAAGGTTTTATAGAAGATTTCATTAAATATGTATTGAGCCGGCTTAAGATGGAAATTGTTATAAAAACTGGCAACGGTTCAAGCAGCCAAACGTTTTCGGGTTTATTACAGAGATATTTTACTCCTGCCTGCAATCGGCCTTCCATTAGACCATTGAAATGCGCAAGGCCAAAATAATCTGTATTGTGGGGCTGTAATTGCTGTCGCTACATGTGCGGCTGCCTCCGGAGCTGAGTAAAACATCACCTGGCCCCTTCTCTTGAGCACCATTTGCACACAGCAGGCCCCATACATTTCAACCTGAAACCTGGCAGCCTGTTTGGAACCAGCTCAGCTTGTTTCTGGCCAAGGGGAATGGTCAGACACAGAGCTCACTGCAACGATGTGATTGTAACATGGGGAGGCAGGTGGTGCAATGTCCCCCTGAGCTGGGGGCTCACAGTTTTCCATTTTTCATATATATAACAAATGCAAACGTCCTGGTACCAAGTCTGATTTAAAGATGCAGAAGTCAAAGAAAGTAGAGCAGGGTATTTGACGTTGCCCATCAAGAGCTAGCACCATGACAGCAAGCTGAGCAGGCACACTGGTCATCTGTTCACAATTTTCTCCACAACAGATAGGCGTATTTCTACTTAAAACATTTGTTTTCTCTAAACTCATATCCATACATACAACTAAGCACCCGGGTGGTGCTGTGGGTTAAACCACAGAGCCTAGGACTTGCCGATCAGAATGTCGGCGGTTTGAATCCCCGCGACAGGGTGAGCTCCCATTGCTCAGACCCTGCTCCTGCCAACCTAGCAGTTCGAAAGCACGTCAAAGTGCAAGTAGATAAATAGGTACCACTCCAGTGGGAAGGTAAACGGTGTTTCCACGTGCTGCTTTGGTTTGCCAGAAGCGGCTTAGTCATGCTGGCCACATGACCTGGAAGCTGTACGCTGGCTCCCTCGGCCAATAAAGCGAGATGAGCGCCACAACCCCAGAGTTGTCCACGACTGAACCTAATGGTCAGGGGTCCCTTTACCTTTATGACCTCTTCTGCATAAGTCGCCACCCTACCCAGGAGTCAAGCTCTGATGCCTTACCTCTCATGCCACCAGTTCCCTGCATCGACTGCCAACCTTGCAGACTGAGTTCTGTGCTTTGATGGTACCATCTAAGCTGTAATACCAGCTTGTCTGTGCGCCGAGTCAACTGACACCCATAGAGCAATCTCTGTCCACCAAGTCTTACAAGGGCCTAGCATAGGAGCTAGATCCTCATTCTATGTGGCTTGTCTATGCTGTGAGTTTATTTCCTGTATCCCTGCTTCATTGCCTTATTTGTTCTTCTGAAAATCCACAGCAACTTTTTGCAGCATGCATCTGTTTTTGGCCAACTTGGACAGTCAGCTCAGCTGTGTCCCAGAACCTTACTACCTATACCCTCATTGCAGAGGACGACCATAGGTGGGCAACCCCTCTGCAACCCACCTCCTGCCTGCGCAAAAACTCTCTCTCAAACTCCTCCTCCCAGCCCAACCCTACCCTCTGCCTGCATCCCATGATAACTCTCACTCTCAGCTCTTCTCCTCATGGACCACCCTCTACCCATGCAGTTTGGAGGAGGAGAAGGAGGAGAAGAAGAAGAAGAAGAAGGATGAGCTCAAATACGTGAGAAAACACTTCCTGTTTGAAGTTCCAACAGAATGGAGGGCACTTTTCTCCAAAAAAAAGGCGGGGATCACATTTTTTAAGGGTTGGGTGGCAAACCTAATCCCCAGCATCTTTATGTAGGTCTAGGAAAGACTCCTGCTTCAATCACTGTAGGTCTGCTTCCTGTCAACGTAGACAATACTGATCTAGATGGACTAGTAGTTTGGCTCAGTATAAGGGTACTGCTTATGTTCCTGTCATCATTCACACTGTCCCACTGGGTTTAATGCTCTCTTTGTGGGAGGTACGGTAGGAAGGAAACTCCATGCAGTGTCCCATGCAGCAACTCGCAAAACAAGGCATCCAGGCAGTGCTCCAGCAACCCTCATTTGCAAGCATTGACTACATTGCTTAAGTGATGCTGCTGACTTTTACATGGACAAAATCATTTCTGGCAATCCAGCCAGATGTCTGATTTTGAGGCAAATGAAAGAAAATAAAAACCGGCAACAAGCCCAGTGATAAACAAAAGCAAATGCAAAACTTAGTGTAGGTCAGGATTCAGATCGCAGCATACCTTGCTTGGGCTGCACATTTACTTAAAATGAGTTAACCTGTTTCTACATCAGTGTTAGGAAATCACTGGTCCATGGTGCCTCCCTGCTTGGCCCATGTGGTCATTTTAGCCCAAGCCAGGTCTATGTGCTGTGTGTGTGTGTGTGTGTGTGTGTGTGTGTGTGTGTAATATGATATCAGGTGCTGGGCAGGTAAAGGTCTGGCTCAGCTGAAACAGGCTTTGTGGGCACTGCCCATAAGCTGGTAGGTGGCACCTTCAAAGCCCTGTACAGAACATTGTGCCCAGCACTTGGCATGCTCCACCAGAGCTGATCAGTGGGCCTTGTCAAACACTATGCCAGGACTTCACAAGACCTGATTCTGAGGTCTTGCAGAGCATTATTATTATTATTATTATTATTATTATTATTATTAACATTTCTAAACCACCCTTCATTCAAAGATCACAGGGTGGTTTACAATATAAAAACACAGAAATGCATGACATACTAATAAACAAAGCAATAACCCCCACATAGTTTGAAAGGTCACAGATTGTTTAATTAATAAGGTGCTATACATTTGAGCCTGCCCCAACTTTGGTTTCCTCGCAATGAAATTTCCTCCCACCCCCTGCAATGTGCCCACCTCACTTCAGTGCATGGTTCCCCCACCCCCTCCTCCAATGTTCTCTCTAGACCAGGGGGTTGGGAGAAGAGCCCATAGGACTTCAACTCCCACAATCCCCGGCTATGGGTCATGCAGGCTGCGGCTGCTGGGAGCTGGAGCCCCCGAAGAACCTCTGCAGGACGACTGGCTCTCAGTGCCTCTTCTAGACTCAGCCCAAAGCAGCCTTCCTTCTCCTGCCACCAGGGTCAGGTCTCCCACTATGCATGGGACTTCACAAGATCCAACAATCAGCTGATCCTCAGGCTGTGCAAAGCAAACCTGTGAAAACTGTGCCTCAAGTGTTGGTGATCAGCTGATTGTTGGTGCTTTGCAAGCTTGGCCCCACCCAGTTTGGTGTCAAGCCAAGTGAGCAAAAAAATGGGTCACCTGACCTCATTGTGATATCAGGTGATTAATAAGGGGTAACCCCTCCCATCTGTCAAATGTGGCCCGAGGGAAGGTGGAGAAGATAACGATCTGTCCCACTGGCCAGATCCAGTTCCACCCCACCCCCTATTCTATGTCTTTATGGGCTTTTCCTTGCATAAATAACCCCAAAGATTGGATTGCAGCCTACACTACTTTTGCTATCAAAAATGATATTGTCCCAAGCCTCCCGCAATGTTATTTGAGCCAAAGGTTCCAATTTGTTGGAGTCAGTTAAGTTAGCATTGTTAGTACAGAAGCAGCAAAGGCAATGTAGGAAACATTTCCAAGGATACACGGAGAAAGTCAATAAACAAGGAAGCGGTTTACATTTCCTGGTCCTGGGTTCAAGCTTCCAAAGTGAACATTTCCCCTCCTTCTTTGACCCAGTGTTGGTGTTGGTGTGAAACTTGCCAGCAGGGATTGTTTTTCACCTAATCAAGTGTCTTCTCTAATTTGCCTCCCAAATTTCACAAATGAAATTTTGCAAAGTACCCTTTTCCCCCCTAAGAAGTGGGTGGGTGAGAAAAAGAAAAACCTAGGATTTCATTTTATTCTTCTTCTTTTTTAAAGAAAAAATGACACTGGGAAATTTCAGCTCTGCTCTACGACTCACCCATCTCCAGCCTAATAACGCCAGAGACTGGACAGTGGCTTGCACGTGGGAACAAACATCCACGTGTGCTCACAGCTTTAACTAAGAGCTGGGTTCCATTTATAAATCACTGAGCCGGGCTTTCAGGTTCTGTGCCTTCAGCAGAGCTGCAAAGGTGAATTATAGCTGAGACGTCACGTGGCCACCGTCTATTTTTACTTCGTACAGTATGATCTCTGCTCAAGGACAACAGCATTGTTCATAAACTATGCATGGGTCATGATAGCACTTAATGGAGAAATAACCATTGGTTAACAGAACATTAAATGTGCAGTAGGCTATTAGTGTAAACTCCATACAGATAGTTTAAAAAAAAAAAAAGCCATCTCCCTGTGTCAGAAATGTTTTCCTATCAGAGACTTTGTGCCTGCCTCCTCCACTTTCAAACACTTGCAGTAATAAAATATTTTGACTGTAGAATACATCTTGGCCTGAACTAGATAACATAGAGAGCATGTGACTGGTAGGGTTGAATCCCCTTCTCTCCTCTTTCTCAGTAATTAGAATCATAGAATTGGAAGGGACTACAAGGGACGCAGGTGGCGCTGTGGGTTAAACCACAGAGCCTATGACTTGCCAATAAGAAGGTTCGAATCCCCACGATGGGGTGAGCTCCCGTTGTTTGGTCCCTGCTCCTGCCAACCTAGCAGTTCGAAAGCACGTCAAAGTGCAAGTAGATAAATAGGTACCACTCCAGCGGGAAGGTAAACGGTGTTTCCGTGCGCTGCTCTGGTTTGACAGAAGCGGCTTAGTCATGCTGGCTGCATGACCCGGAAGCTGTACACCGGCTCCCTCAGCCAATAAAGCGAGATGAGCGCCGCAACCCCAGAGTCGTCCGCGACTGGACCTAATGGTCAGGGGTCCCTTTACCTTTACCTTTTATAAGGGTGATCTAGTTCAATCCACTGCAATGAGGGAATCTTCTGCCCAGCGTGGGCTCAAACCCACAACCCTGAGATTACGAGTCTTGTGCTCTACCAGTTGTGCTATTCCAGGTCTTCTTTGGCTATTAAAAGAAAAATATGTGATATGAATTCATCTTGAACATAAGAAGGGCCTGCTGGATAAGAGCAAACACCCACCTAGTCTAGCTTCTTCTTCTTTTGGCGATCATGCATTGTCTTCCATGAACACGGTCTTAACAGTGAGTCCATAAGTGACTGTGGGGGCCAATTCTGGATCCACACGTCCTTCCAAAGTGGGGATTTCGGGGGGGAGTTGATCACGGTGAGGGTTTGCCAAACATGCCTTCCTCTTAACTTGTTTCTTCTGTTCACCCTGAGTTTGTGCTTCTTCAAAGTCCATGACACCTTTGGCAAAGGCTGTTTTCCAGTTGGAGCACCCTCTTTCTCACAGTGGCCAGTCAGATGCCTCTGGGAGACCCCCAAGCATGGTTTAAAAGCAATCTCCATTCGCCCTGCCCTTTCCCAGTGCCTGTAAGCATTCAGGTGTATTGTCAGGCTTTGGGGAATTGGCTTCCTCCCCCATGGCCATAAATGAGCAGATCAAATGAAAGAGAATTCTTACCAGTTAGTTTCTTTAATAAACACAGTGAAGAACTAAAGAAAGTGTCTACCCAGAATGCTGGTGCTCCCAATTATGGTTCACACACATCTGTCCCTTTCAATCTACGTCACTCCTATGTCTTGTAATCTGACCCTCTGCGCTTTCTGTTCTGAGATTTTCTCGACTCTGGGCTGGGCAGAGGAATGCTGTCCAGTGACTGTGAATCTGTTAACCCTCTCTCTTCCAGTGTTTCTTATCCTTGCTGTTCCCCATCCAGTATTTCCCAGCTTCTGCCTTCTGAACTATGCCCCTCGGCAAACCACTGTTCCAAATCTATACTGTCCTCCTGCTCCTGGGAAGATTCAGGAGTAGGGGGAGGGGGTGGCTCCCACCATTCCTCCTCAGTGCAGTCCTCCTCAGCACAGTCCTTGACATATATCCTCTGTAGTTGGAGGTTCTACCATCACCACCATCATTTATTAAACTTTTGTATCATCCTTCATCTGAGAATCCATGTAGCTGTCATGCCTACTAGTCATTGCTGACAAGTGGGACCTGCAACAAAATGTTGCAGTATGGTGTGCAACTTCAGGGTTCCAGCATACCAGCTTGTTACCACCAACCCTCCCGCCCCCATACAAATCCACCTGGTTCTACATCACACACAAATCTGGCAGCATCCCATGTTCAGCATGAACTGCTTTGGAAGTGTCCTCCAAGTTCAAACCTAAGGTGGGGGGCTTTTAAAACAGCCCAATGAAGGTTAGCGTGACCAGTGGGTGTGGAATACTGCCTAATTTTCATACATATTTGTACTTCTGCAAAGCTTGGGGGTTCTCCCTTTTCTCCATGGGTGATGGTGTTGTTTTGGCTACATCAGGATTAGTACTTGGCAAATGAATTCAGAGTTAGTATGTGGGACAAAACACTCCACTTCTGAATTTGGAGGAGAGCTTGTTACCCCAACCTTTCACATACACATAAAGACCCATCCTGTTTTTATATATATATAAATTGTTTTAACTGATTTTATTATTGTATTTTATAGGACATCCTGATGAAAGCTGGGTAGGAAATCCTATAGATAAATAAACAAGTAGACAAATAAGTAGAGCCTCCAGGTGCAGAGGTAGTATACATAAAATTTAGCATTTTGCCACCCCTGCAGGCAGCAGCCAAGGAAGTGGTGCAAGAATGAGGAAACTCCCACTATGAAAATGCAGCTTCATACATTTTCATTTACTATATGTACATGGGAGTGGGGAGAAGGAGACAGGGAGTGGCTGATTTCAGAATTGGCTGCCTGCACTCCACATCACCTAGTTTCACACTCCAACAAATTGCAGCAATCCTTTTTTAATAAAATAAATACTTGATATTTGCTACTTGATAAAGCCACATTCAGTTTGGCTATCCAAGAATTTTAAATAACTCATTGTGTTGTTTGGGTGAATATTCACCCAAGACTTTTCTGAGGCATTTACATACATACATACATACATACATAGAGAGAGAGAGAGAGAACTGACATGTCTTTAAAAGTGTGTGTGTGTGTGTGTGTGTGTGTGTGTGGAAGGATGTTCATTAGTGATCTAAGTTTAGCTGTGGCTCCTTGTTGAGTAAACTCTAAATTCAGAGGCAAACCTCATTTTGTTGTTGGACAATGTGTGAAACGGCTATCGTTATCTAAAGGACTGAACACTCAAATATATTAGCACCAGGGCTGATTGAAAATGTAATTGATCCTGGGTACTGAGTCAAAACATGAGCTTCAAAGGGCCATTAGTTCTGTAAAAGAAACATATCTTAGATTCTCCAGAGCCTAGCAAAGTTCTTTTGGCCATTATTGCTGCTGCTGCTGCTGCTGCTGCTGCTGCTACAGAAGACCACCCAGTAATAGTGCCTTCCACTTCCTTTCACAGCTGCTTGCACAGAAGAACATCAAGTGATAGCTGCAGCACAAGGGCCACAAACCAGCTGTTAGCTTCTTTTTCCACTGCTTCATATGGATTTTCTGTAATGAATTGCACAAAGTCACCTTGAGCATCCCAGGGGGGTGGGGAGTCAGGATACTTACTTACTTACTTACTTACTTAAAGGTAAAGGACCCCTGGCAGTTAAGTCCAATCATGAATGACTCTGGGGCTGCGGCGCTCATCTCCCTTTACTGGCCAAGGGAGCCAATGTTTGTCCGCAGACAGTTTTTCTGAGTCATGTGGCCAGCATGACTAAGCCACTTCTGGCGAAACCAGAGCAGCCCACGGAAATGCCATTTACCTTCCTGCTGGAGCAGTACCTATTTATCTACTTGCACTTTGATGTGCTTTCAAACTGCTAGGTTGGCAGGACCTGGGACCGAGCAATGGGAGCTCACCCCGTCGCAGGGATTCAAACTGCCGACCTTCCAATTGGCAAGCCCTAGGTTCTGTGGTTTACACTAGAAAGAAGGAAGGAAGGAAAGAAAGAAAGAAAGAAAGAAAGAAAGAAAGAAAGAAAGAAAGAAAGTTCATTGATGGCACATATCAGAAACTTTTCCAGCCCCAGGGTCACATTGCCAAATGAGCAACCTCGGGGGGGGGGGGTTACATGCCAGCGGGGGGGGGGGGCAGAGATAAAAATGGGTGGAGCAACAGGTCAATCTTGTACAGTAGGATACCAGCCACAAAGATGGTATCCTAGGGAGAGACTTGAAGTCTGGACAGAGAATTCGAGAGGGCCACATTTGGTTCACCACCCCTGATGATTCTGCAACTGTTAAATTTGTTATTTCCACCAAATTCTAAGATTTAGGTTAGTCAATGTTCACATGCATTATCCCCCTTTACACACACACACACACCCCACTACACCCTGTCCCCTCCTCCTAGCCTCTGCCTGGCAATGGATGTCATCACACATTTTACTTATATAGGCAGAAAATGTATTATTAGTGCCAAGGTGTCACATTCTGGGCATGCAGGGAGAGAGAAAACACACACACACACACACACTGTGAGACAGGCAATTTTGTATACGCCTCCAAACCTTCTCCTGCATATGCAAGAACCATTTCCAAAGCAATATGAAAATATTTCGGCGATGTACTAAGGGGCATGAATAATGCACCGGGCAAAACGCCTTGGCGCATTAGAGCATGTTTCATCCTATCAATATGATAAATGCAGGTACAGTTGTTTTAATTGTACCGATCACGTCGTAATGGAAACACATCTGTGCTTTGCCCGGGGGAACATTAAATGTTTTCCCATTCTTGACAAATGGGTGCATCCTGATAGCGATGCTACGGCACCATTCAGCTTACCTGCACAATGTGGCTTTTCTTTCTGGTGAATTTCGCCTTCTTCTTTTTGAAAACGCAGAATGCACCTACCGCATTAATACATAATGAGCTGAAAACACTGGGCCAAATACTACGTATCCATCACTGTAACTACACTGAAGCTGGTTGACCTGCATTTGACTTATCAGAGCTGAAAACTAGGCTCAGTGGAACCCTACAGAAGAGGATTTTTCCTTTAGCATTAGCTTCATAAGTTTGCCTAAGGGATCATAGAATCATAAAATTGTAGAGTTGGAAGGGACCTCAAGGATCATCTAGCCCAACCCTCTGCAATGCAGGAATCTTTTTGCCCAGTGTGGGGCTTGAACTCACGACTTTGAGATTAAGAGTCTCGTGCTCTGCTGACTGAGCTATGTCACCAGACCAAAAGAAGTGAGATACTGTGTGCAAATCTTAGAGCAAATCTGGAGGAGGAGGAGGAAGCCCTGCAATAAAATGTTGTAGTGTGGAGTGCTCATGGTCCCAACCAGCAGGCCTACCAGGCATGCCTTCTTTTAGGATACTCTAGGATAAGGTTACCAGACATCCCTGTTGCCCAGGGACAGTCCCCAGATTTGCAAATCAGCCCCCATACAAAATCCCCATACAAAAAGTTGAAAAGTGTCCCCGAATTCATTGAAAAAAATCTGATAACCTTACTAGGAATGAGGAAACGATTTCTGTCTGAGAACCACATCCATATGACTTTGCAGGAGGCAAATGCCAGCAGTGTGCAGGGCCGGAGACAAAAGTGGAGAGAGGAACAAATATAAATTTTATCTTTTGTACAGCAAGCTAGCTTCTGCACACACGCTTCTCTGTCCAAGCAAGCAAGATGCATTATCAGAGGGGAATGTTCCTATCATGCAAAATAGGAGGTTGCAAAGCAGGACCAGAGAGGGAAGGTGGCTGTGTAGAGGAGTCCTGAGGGCTGAGTAGAGAATCATGGAAGTCTGTGTATGGCTCCCAAACCTGAGGTTCCCCATCAGTGGACTCTAATCCTTTTCGCAGCATGATTTTTCCACACCCATCCCAGCAGTCGGGCATCATTCTGTGCCCACTGAGTATTCTCCATCCTCACTCATCTATTTAGGCCCTGTCCCCCTTAGGATTTTTAAAAGAATAATAAACAGATCCCTCCCCACAAAGAAACACCTGCTGATACTTGGCTCTTGTTGTTTTGGTTATACAGTGGAAACTTGGTTCTCGAATGGCTTAGTTGACGAACAAATTGGCTCCTGAACGCTGAAAATCCAGAAGTAAGTGTTCCAGTTTTTGAATGTTTTTTGGCAACCAATGCGGTTGTCAGCTATTGTTTCTGGTTGCAGCGTTTGGCTTTTAGCAGAAGTTGGGATGGTCCATTAAGCCATGCACATTATTATCTAATGTTACTGTCACCAAGTGATAAATGTGCCTGTGTGAGCCAGCCTGAAGATATCAAGGAAGATAAGCATTAAGCATTAAGCAAGGTGCATGAGGATCAAAGCAAATGGAACTGACTCAACACCCAAACTGTAACAGCCATATCCCTCATTATTGGTCCATTTAGCTCTGTGTTGTCTCCATTGACTGGCAGAAGCTCTCTGGGCTTTTAAACAGGGTTTTCTCTCGGCCCTATCTACAGGTGCTGTAGATTGAACCTGAGACCTTTTGCATACAAAGTACTATAGCTCACATGCTTCAAAAACCCTTTCTGCAATCATGAGGGCTAACAACTTCAAATAAAATATTAGTGGTGTGTATATATATTTAGCATTTTAAGATCTTTAGTCTCCAGTAGGGTTGCCACCTTTGGTCAGGCAAAATACAGGTTGGGGGGAATTGGGGGGTAACTCCCCCTTTCTCACTCTCTGACTTTGTCTCCATCTCCGACCCACCCACCTCTGCCTGTGCTAAAACTCTCTTTCCCCTCCACCCTCCACCAGGGCAATGCAAACCCCGCTCTCTCGCTCTGCAAGTCCAACCCACCCCCATCCCCTCTGCCTGCAAAAAAGACACCTCTATTTCTTACACCAGACCAGGCTCCTGCAAACCTCCTCTCTCACTCTCTGACTCACCTGCCACTGCCCCCCGAAAAAACCCAAGACTCTACTGTAGCAGGGCAGACTCATGTACCGCAAACCCCATCTCTCGCTCTCCACAACTCAACCCCTGCCTGTGCAAAAACTCTCTCTCTCAAACTCCTCCTCCTGGCTCCACCCCACCTTCTGCCCATACCCTGCTATAACTCTTGCTCTCACTCTCGGCCATGCATAGGCAAACTCTGGCCCTCCAGATGTTTGGGACTACAATTCCCATCACCCCTACCTAACAGGACCAGTGGTCAGGGATGATGGGAATTGTAGTCCCAAACATCTGGAAGGCCAGAGTTTGCCTATGGCTGCTTTCAGCTGTCCTCTTCATGGACCCACCCTCTGCCCGTGCAGTTTTTAGGAGGAGGAAGGTGAGCTCAAATATATGAAAAAGGTGTTTGAAGTCCACACAGGACAGGGGAGACTTTTCTCCCCCAAAAAGAGGCAATCACATTTTTCTAGGGACAGGTGGCAACTTTAGTCTCCAGGTTCTTCACAAACACTTAAACCCAGCCCCATTCATTTGAAAACTGAAACAATTATCAGAAATCTCTGACTTTATGCACCTGAAAGGCTGATTTCTTGATGACTGCAAGACACCAAAGCCCGAGTCCTGTTCCAGTTACATCTAGGGAACTACAAGTATTTCACTCCAGTTTCAGTGGAGATGAGGATTTCTCTTTTTGAAAACTATTGGCATCCAAGCCAAGACCATTATTTCTCATCCTCTTAGGAAATCCATGATGCTTCCGAGCCTAGGGCACTGGGAAGCAGATGCCATGATTAAATTCAGCCTGCAGTTTACACATTTAGTACTTAAACTGCCTATTCATACGCATGGTGTGATGGGTTATGGGATAACATGGAGACTTCCTGGTTGTGCTCCACTGCAGCTTTGCTGGATCTTGCAAGCTTAGTGGTTCTGTTTTCTATCTCCTCTCAAGGCAGAGAGTCCTACTGCTCCTGTGTAAAGATAAGGCAAATCCTGGCCTTTAACTGTCCTTATTTTACATGTAACTGGAGGCATCTGAGAGCTGCATGGAGACCTTCCTGCCAGCAGCAAAAGACTCCAGATGCAAAGTAACCTTAATCATAAGGATTATGTGGGTGTCTTGAGAACTGATTCATAAGCAAAGTTAGTTATGTTTGTTTCAAGTGCTGTTTTCGCAGATGAGATGCACCTTTGCTATCTGGGAATGAAAAGGTCATAGTGGGGGAGGAACTGCCAAATGAGAAGAACTATGAATTCTTCCGCCTTCCATTTTACCAAGGTATATCCACCTTGATGAGCATGGATCATCCAGGTGGGGGAGGAAGAATGGAGGTGACCTCCATCAAGCACATGCCCTTTCTGCTCAAGCACATGAGGAAAGTGGAAACTATTGCTAATTGTCTTATTGTTCCTCGGAAGGCCATGGTTCTGATTGATTAGCTATAGCACGAGAGATCCGTTGAGCTATTACTTATTTTAAAGCAGTAATGGCTCTTCTGTTGATTGCTTCCAACTCAAAGATTTCTATAATTAACACCAACCAGAACATCTTTGTACATCCACACCATGAATTCAGTGAAACTGCCAAAAGTGGGGAAGGGCCATAGCTCATGGCTGGAGCATCAGTGTTACGTGCAGAAGGTCCTTGCTTCAATCCTCTCTAAGCATCTCTAAGTAGGCCTGGGAAAAGCCCCTGTCTGGAATACTAGAGGCTCACTACAATTCAGTGCAGGCACTACTGAACAAGATGGACCTATGGTCTGACTCATATAAGGCAACTTCTTACATTCCTCATGAGAGATGAGGCGGTCCATCGATGTCAATGACTGGGCAGAGGAGGAATGGTGGAGATCACCTCCCCAGCCTGACCCTTCCAGAGAAGAGGAAGATAGTTCAGAATTACAACAGGGGTTTGAGGGAGACCACAGCTCAGAGGCAGATGAGGGGGAAAGTTGGGAAATAATGGGAGAGGAGGAAGAAGAAACAACCGGGGGGCATCTGATGGGCACAGTGTCTTTAGAAAGCATTCCAGATCCCCCCTCTCCCAGAACCTGACAAGCACTGAAAGTAGGAGAGCAAAGAGCTCAGAGACAGAAGGCACTTCTCAGCACCCATAGTGATGACACATGAAGGGAGAGTGGGAGGTGGTGGAGACTCACACGGGGCAACACCATTATTCCAAGAGGCTGCATTTTCAAGCCTCTTTCTGTGAATATTGAATAAAAAGCAGTTGGTAAGCACTTTCCTTGTCTTATCCATTCCTGGCAACCTGCCATGGGAGTTGGATCCTCTGCTGCCTGACAATCATATTGAATGAGCAAAGTGCCTAATATTTTGATGCATTAAGGGGCAGACAGAGGAATCATATTTTCATACCCTCCAAGTGTCCCTATTTTCCAGGGACACCCCTGGAATTACAAAAGCCATTCCGTCTTCTGATTTGATCCCAGAATATCTCTATTTCCCCCATCTGTGCCACAGCCACCAAGCTTGGGGAGATGGATGAGCCGGTGCTTGTCCTGCGTAATGGCAGTGGTGGCAGTGGTGGCTGTGAGGGAGCATCCTGTCAGAGGTCTGTAAGGCCTATCAGGACACTCAGGCAGGGCAGAGCTATCTGCCCTGGCACCTGGAGTGGCATGGGGGCGTGGCTAGCCACCTGCACAACCAGTATCCCTAGCTGCTTGCTGCCTGCGCAGCGAGCATGGGGGGGGGACCTAGTCACCTGCTGCCCCTGTGGCAAACATTGGGAGGGGCACTGCTAGCCACCCATGTGGCAAGCGTTGGGGGGCGCCACTAGCTACAGCATTGTCCCTAGTGGCCCGCGGCCCACACAGCAAGCAACCGGGGGTGCCACCCATACAGCGAGTGTCCATAGGCACCGCCCACACAACGAGCGTGGGGTGGGGTTGGAGTGGCACGGCGATGTCACCCACCCTCACAGCTGACACCCGGTGTGCACCGCACCCGCCTTCCTCTGCCAGTGGGCTCAAGCACTGGAAAGAAAAGACTGGTGTGAAGCTGCAGAGATTTTAAAAAAGTGCAAGCAACAATATGCTCCCCTTGGCTACTTTTTGCATAAATAAAGAGCAAGAGACAACCCCTCCCACCCTCTTAAGGAACAAATGTGGTTTATGGAGGAGAGTGAATCCCTTTTACTTTCCCCAGAAAAAATATAATCACCTGGATCTATTGGTCTGCAATTTGCTTAGCTTAATCACACAAATCACATGAATGAAGTGTACAAAACATGCATTTTATGGATGAATGCACTGAAAAGCATTAGAAAGTGTGTATTCTCCATTAAAAAAATGATCACAAACG